TGGGTTGTCTTTATTCGGGAATCCCCACGTTCATTCCCTTACAGTAATTATTCGCTGCCTATCGCACCAGCAAGTGGTTTTGTAATCCACCACCCCAAAGAATGTACCGAAAAGTCGGGTTCAAGGGATACAACCTCAGGGGAGGTATACGACAGCCCTTGGCCATTCTGAAAGAGTTAACCCCGTGCCCAAAAATCTCCGGCCATTGGATTTTGATCGAACGATTCCACACAAATGGCTTTGGTTGTCCTTTTGGTTTCCCGTCAAAAGAACCCTCGGTTTATAGATGCAGGGGATCAGAAAACGGACAGCCCAGTGTAGGGACCAGTTCTTCCCTCCTTGCTACTTTGGCACTAGGATACCCTTCCGTATAGTCCACAAGGAGTCGATTCGCAAGCCTGGTGAGCTGTCAACGGCAGGGAGAGGTGAAACAAGATCCTTCGCAATTCCCGGAATGAATGACTTGAAGGTGTATACAAGCCTGTACCAAGCCGTTTCTTAAGGGACAGTCTGAGTATGATTGATGCAGCCACGCCAAGTTTATCTTGGCCCAAAGAATAACTTCAAGGACAGAAGCTAGCAACAGCCAATCCATTTGTCAGGCACAGACCCGGTTTTTGGGGCAACCGCGGATTTTGGTTGAAACAAACATGCACCTCCTGCTGGACTATACGCACATCTGGATATGTTGACTGAACCTCCATTGCCAAGCCGAGCCCGACTTGTTGTGCATTTGCCCTGGTCTTGAGTTTTCAAGAGCTCAACAAACAACGCACTTCGAAAATGAGCATCCCCTACTCCCAATATATATATATATATACTTACCTCTTAAAAAACACAACTTTTCAACTTTTTGGGTAACATGGGCTATATGTCTGTAAAAGATTAACTTCCCCAGGGCTTGGAGTTTTAAGGGGCAAGTTTATATATATGTATATATGTCACTTTTGTACATGTTCAACAGCCGCCATCTCTCATGATAAAGCACCTCTGGCTTTTTGTTCAGGGCTGACGCTCCCCCAAACCGCAGCCGGGTATTTGGCCTCGGGGCCGAAGCCCGGTGAAAGCCCGGCCGGAGCCGGTCGCGCAACGAGGCGACCGGAGCTAACAGTGCCTAGAGGATCGACGGATCGACGCTCGAAGGGCTTCAAAAAGATTGGGTCTGGGTATTCTTAGGGCTCCCCAAAAATGGCATTGCATTTTTGCCCCCCCCCCCCCAAAAAAAAAAAAAAAATACAAAATAAACAAAAGACAAAATGGCATCGGTTTTCCTTTGGGTTTCCTTGTAAACCAACCCCAAAAAGGGTACCAACCCAAAAAGAAGGAACAAAAACACACCCATTTGCTTGCCATGGACCTTTCTTGGGTTCCCGGCCGTCCGCTTAGGTCCGCAGATGTTTGTTGTTGGTTTCTGGGTTGGGTTCCAATTGACTCACTAAGAGTGAGTCACTTTTATCGGATCAGAAAACGAACGGCCCAGACTGGATTTCCTGAGAACAACTTGTTTGAGAAGAGAAGCTGTCGACAAGTTTTCAGACTTCTGGCCAAGCCAGGCAAGTGTGAAGTGTGTGGTGGCTTCCATTTGCCAAGTGAAAAAACCTCGGAGTCCAGGCCTTGGAGCATTTTCCCCGGGTAAGGCCGCACGCTGGGTTCTCAAATATTTGGATTTCTTTTTCTTTGAGTCGGTTTTTGTCGAACCAAAGGTTGGACCCCCCGAAATGGTCCTTGGATTTCATGTGACCGCAGCGGCAATTGGAGAAGGGCAACGAAGGCTGGGGCCATGGCTGTGGAGCACTTCTTCAAGATGAGCCACGTGCTTGCTCAAAACCCGGGGAAATGGTGAAGGTCAGGGACAGTTTTAGCCAGAAACAGCAGCGGAAATCCGCCTTGTTTTTTTGTTACATGGTTCTGGGTCAACCATTTCAATAATGGGTTTTGATTGTGACTCAGATGGGTGCTGGTATTCCTGTCAGACCCAACGTGCCTGCTGGGATGTGCGAAAAGGCAGTGACGCTATCGACTCCGAATCAGAGCACCTTCAAGGTGCCGGAAAATACCTCGCTCGAAGTGGTAGATGAACGTGTATTCCCTAGAAGAAATACAGGTCATGAATAGCAGCCCCGCCCTACCAGTACTGTTTGGCGTTCTTGTTTGTGTTGATCAAAAGAAATCTAACAACTTGGTAAAATCTTGATGGGATTGATTTCAGCCTTCTAGAGCCAACGCTTGTCCAAAAGTGCCGAGCCTGATTGTTTTGTTCCAGGGCTGGGGGGGGGTTCAGGAAGAGAGTTTCACCATAGTGAAGCCCTGAGTGTTGTTGAGGGTTTTTGTATTACACCCTGGGAATACACCCACTGGGTATTGACCCCATTTAGGCACAAATCCGGATAAAACCGTGCTATTTTGAACCATTCTGGGTCATTTCCCAAGGGTGTAATCCCAGGGTGAAATATAAAATCCCTGAGAGTGAGGAGGAGTTTGTTTGCTTCGGTTGGATCCGCTGCTTCTTGGTTCATGGGATTCTGTCCCGGAAGGGACACCAAAAGTTGAAACCCTTGCAGGACACGGACACGTGTTCGTGCTTTGTGCTCAAACTCTTCTTTTCCTTTTGGTTTTCCTTCCAAACGTTTTTCAGCCCCATTCTTGAGAAACTTCTGCTTGAAACCCGGCCCGTCTCGTTCTTGTTTCCCCCAAACACCAGCGGCTGGCTCCCGGAAATAACAATCACGTGTGGCTGGTGTTTCGTTTCCCCCCCAAAAACCACCCAACCGCCGCCGTCGCCCCGCCAGGGCCCCGGCTCCACACCTCCTGGCGCCCCCGGTCCCTGGACCGCTCGGAAGCTTCCCGCGAACATCTTCGCCGCGGCTGGAGCGGCTCGCTGCGCCCGGGAGCCCCGAAATCGCGAGCGGAGCGCCCGGCGCGGAGCTTTTTGTTTGTGGTCTGGTCGGGTGAGGAGGTCCCTGGCTCGGAGTGTTTTTTTGTTTGTTCTTTCAATAGCTTGCACTTGCTGAAGCCTGCGTTTTTTTTTGTGTATTTTCCCCTGTGGGTTTGGTTTTGAGGTTTTCCGATGAACCCGCGAAAAGATATGATTTTTTAGCAGGGGATCTGAGGACAGCCCAAATGTTGCCGGGTGTCCGAGCTATGTCCCTTTTTGGAACCTCCAACACCTCCAAAAGTGGAATTCGATCGCTTCAAGGAATACCACAAAATTGATCAACTTGTATTTAGTGACCCCTGTTTGGGAGGCCCTGTTTGAAGGGGAAAGCCACATCAGGAGAATGTGAAGCGTTTGGAAGCGACATGAGGGTGTTTGGACATGGGTTTTCTTGGACACCTACCAGCTTCTGGCGGGAATTCGCCCAGAAATCTGAGACATTGGGGATCAGTTTTTTTTTTTTCAAATGGAGTGTCGCCCCTTGGAGTCCTCGGTCTTTTCCAGCTCAGAGTTTCTGAGGAACCGGGGGCGGTTGGGCTTCATGAGATCTGATGTCTAAAGCCAACAGCCTGGAGAGTGTAGCTGGCCGCTTTTTTGGGACGGATCATCCATTTTGCGCAGGGGTAGACTTATTTGCCACGCAGCGCCAACTATTTGGAGGGTTCCCCTTTAAAAGGCCAACGCAGGATGTTTCGCATGCCAAGCTTCTCCATACGTAGACACAGTCAAAACCCGGGGTAGAAGGTTAGGGGACGATTCGGGACAATCACCATGAATGGGTTCGGATATAAAACTCCAGTTGATTCTTTATAATTCTAGATTTCCCCTAAGGACGGAACATTTGGTAGGTGTCCAGACCCCCTATTTAGCACCTGACTTAGACTACCTTCTTAACTTTGGGCATTTGTTGTTTTTCATAACGTTTCCTTTCAAACAAGCACACAAGACACACACACACACCACGAACAAACAAACAGAAACAAACGAACGAACGAACCAACAAAAAAACAAGCAAACAAAACAAACAACACACATAGACAGACAAACCAACAAGCAAGCAAGCAAACACACACACACAACCAGACAATCAATCAGCCAAGCAGCCAAGCAACCACACAACCAAACAATCCACAACCCAAACAAATACACAAACCAAAAAAAAACACTATTCTGAACACAAAGGACCTACACAAAACACAGGAATAGCAGGAATAGCAGGAATAGCAAACATCGAAACCTTTCTGGAGGGTTTGTTGTTTTTGGGGAACTTTCAAAAGGAGAAGTCCGTTCCGTCATTTTGGAGGGGTGCGATTTGTTTAGGGCGAAAAAGGCCAATTGTTTTTGGGAGGTGTGCTTTTTGGTTGATTTGGTTGAACAATATTTCGGGCCATTCCTGGTTTTCCTGGTGGTTCAATCAACTACCAGGGAAACCCATCGATTTTCAACCAAAAAGGACACCTATGATCTTGGGGCTGCTCATGTGCCTGCGATGAGTTGCGAGTCGCTTGCCTCGATGCTTCTCCTTTGGCTCAGGGGAGGAGTTGGCCATGGGAGAGCATGACACGGGGCAATGGGTTAAGGTCACAAGGTCTCCTCCTTTCCCAACCGGTTTATGACTTTTAACAGAATTCAAGATCCCCCCAATGTCTGGATTTTAGTCACTTGGCAATATCATTTTAGTGGTTAACAAGTCCGTCGTTTACTGACCAGCCACATTTTAAATGCAAAGTCTTGACATTCAAGGCAGAAGCAGGATCCATCAACTGCCCAAGGATGCAACCCCCACAGTGTAATCGATGAGTCCAATTTGGGCGAACCCAGTGGACCAAAGGCTATTCTAAACATAAACTAGTATTCGCGAAGAGAAACAAGAAAACACACACACACACACACACTCAGATGGAGGCCTGCAGGGTTGTGGGATCAAGGGGTTTCTCCTCACTTCTGTGATACTTTTGGGAATCCCCCTTTATATGAACGAACTAGTCTTTGGGGTTAGGCCCTGTCCATGTATCCCAGTGGATTCCATTCCCAGCCCTGTCTGAGCTTTGGTGTACCACTGGGCCTTTGTTCCTCCCGAAAAAAATACCGACCGAGCCGCAGGGTTTAACCGAGAGCGATGGGATGTGGCGCCAGCGTGCATCCCAAGAGCTTCTCGGACGTGTCTCCCAGCCTCCCAACCGGAGCGCCGACAGGTCGGCCCTTTTTTGATGCCGCACCTTGGAAGTCAAGTGGGCTGGTGGTGAGTTTTTTTTGGGTGTGTGTTGGTTAGTTGTTTTTCTTCTTTTTGAAAGGGGGGGGTGTGTTGTTTGTGATTGTTTATGTTTTGTTTGTTGTTGGTTTCTTTTTCATTGTTTTGTTGTGTGTTTGTTTTCTGTTTTTTGTTGTTTTTTTGTTTTCCTCTGTCTTTTTTTTTTTTTTGGGGGGGGGGGTTGTTTTGTTTTTTGGGTTGTTTTGTTTGTTGTTTCTTTGGGCGGGGGGGGGGGGGTTGAAGGCAACCGACAACAATATAAAACGGAACACACTGTATACTTAAAGGGGGGGCATTGTACGTCAGGTAAGTGGTTAGCAAGCCTGGAAAAAAAAACACCCACTGATTCCATGGTTACAATTCTCCGTTCAGTGGATCATAACCAGGCTTACTAACCTCTTACTAAGTACCTTGCCCCTGACTGCCTGCCTGTCTGACTGACCGACCAACCCAATCAACCCACTCACCCAAGCAAGCGAGGAAGCAAGCAAGCAACCCACCAACCAACAACGAAGCAACCAACCAGCCAGCCAGCAGCCGGCCCACCAACAAACAATCCCACAAACCAACCAACCAACCAACCAACCAACCAACCAACCAACCAACCAACCAACCAACCAACCAACCAACCAACCAACCAACCAACCAACCAACCAACCAACCAACCAACCAACCAACCAACCAACCAACCAACCAACCAACCAACCAACCAACCAACCAACCAACCAACCAACCAACCAACCAACCAACCAACCAACCAACCAACCAACCAACCAACCAACCAACCAACCAACCAACCAACCAACCAACCAACCAACCAACCAACCAACCAACCAACCAACCAACCAACCAACCAACCAACCAACCAACCAACCAACCAACCAACCAACCAACCAACCATGCATCCAACTACACAGGCAACACACTGTCCAACCCGTGGAATCCACAAACAGCACATCCAAACTGCTTTGAAAATTGGGTGGTTGGGGCAGTGCGGCAGGGCTTCCGGCGAACCTCCGGGACCTCCGGGTGACGAGCTGTTCTTGGCTCATGTCTTCGGTTGTTTGCGGTGTTTGTTTTTCGGATGGCATTGCCCAGCTGTCCGGCTCCGTAGCTTTTTAGGTCGTTTTAGTTGGTGTAGTGGTTGGGTGTTCATTTACCCACTGAGAGTTAGCCACTTTTCGCAGGGCATCTGAAAACGGACAGCCCGGTTCTGCTCATTTCCTTGAAACCAGCTACAGGAAGCTACTGGAAATCCTGGCGTAAATGTTTGGTGAGCGCCAAGTTGGCCAATCTTTCTGGTGTCTAATGTTGAACCAGGATCTAAGTAGAACCCGTCCCACTATGAAGGGGAGTGTTCCCTCCAAAAGTGGTCCTGCTCACTAAAACCGGGGACACCCGCCAATCAAAATCAACCAGAGGATACCAGAGGTTAACATTATGACCAGTGTGAGCCGCTGGCTTCCTGATCAAGGCGTCTTTTTACTCGGCTCCCGAAGGCCATCCGGTTCGAGGTGTTTATGGTTGTCTTCAGTGGATTCTATAGCATGAAATCCACCAAAGGGTGCCAAGTGCTTGGCTCCCAGCCCCAGCCATCTGCAACCCTGGCCTTTTAGACTTTTAGCTGGTTTTGTGGTAGTTTCCATTTGACCCACTAAAAGAAAGTTAGTCACTTTTCGCGGAAAATCTGAGGGCCCAGTTTATTGAACCGGGTTGCTTGGGAAGGATGATTGATCTACGTTTGTTTGGGCTCCATCTTCGCTAAGACTTTGAATAGTTAGAGCTTCCTGAAAATGGTCGGCGCAAATCCAACCGTGTGTTTGACATGTCAACCAAAAGACATGTCTGTCATTACTCAAACTTCTAGGCCTATGGCTTTTTGGGAGGGCGCCCTTTTCTGTATTGGCTTCGGCCCAAATATCCCGTCTACGATCAATTTGGGATGCAACCCGTTGGCCGCTTTGTGCATGTGAGTTTCGACCGACAGCACGCATGAGGGTTGATCAACGTTCCCAGTAGACTGTGGCCCATTTTGGTCCAACAAAAAGTGGCCCAGGTCCGAATCTGGGGGGCCAAAGTTTTTGTGAACTGGGCGATAGGATGACTTCCACCACCAGACCACCCGAGAAAGCAACTTACACCCAAGGGCCGGGACTCCGGGACCCAAAGGCACGGACTCGGGGGATTTGGTGCGCGCATCGACCGAATTCTCGAAATGTTTCGTCGGGGTCCTAGGTCTTCGTTGAAAAGCCGAGGGCTGGGCTTGCGCTCTCGGCTGTTCGCAACACTCCGAGAGCTACAGAAAAACCAACTCGCGCTTCGGGCAAAAGCCATCTGGGAACCGAAGCGGAGGTTTTCTCTTGAGTTTCCCAAAGCAAGTGAATCAAAAGGTCCTTCACATGGGATGACCATCGGGGAAAGCCAAAACATATTCCGAGCACTAAACGGGAAAAGTCGCCCATGATCATTTTTGGGGGCCAGGAAAAACTGATCAACCTCCATTTGGTTCCGGCAAAAAAAAAGATCAACCGCGCGCGCGCAGAGAAGCGGCGCCGCGAGCAACCGAACTCTCGCATGGCGGTGGGTCAAAACCAATGGGATCCCATTTTGGGGGTCCCGGTGTGCCACCCATTTTAGGACCTATTTTAGTGGGGCGAACCGATTTGGGTTTTGACCCATGGCCCTCTGGCCGCATCGATGGCCGAGGAGAAGAAGGCCAAGAAGAAGGCAGCCCAGGTGATATCTTGGGATGGCGAGGCTCTTGCGCAGAACCTGCAGCTCCAGGCAGACGAGGACGCCTTGGGTTCGTTGGTTTTTGGTTTTTCCCTCCCCCCCGAATGTTATTGTGGAATGGTTGGACCTCTGAAATGGGACAAAGGCATGGTGACTTCTCGGTGATTCCTTTTTCATGGTGTTTTTTGTTTTGTTTTTCTTTGGGGGGGGACCCTTTTTGGGTTTTCATGGTCGCCCTTTTGGACAGGGAATTTCTTCTCTGTTGGAAGTATCAACCAAGGCGGCTGGCTGACCGACGGACTAACTTGCCAGAAGTTCGTTCAAAACACGGTTCGTTGCGTGATGTTGCGTGTGACAACTTCTCGAATGACAAAGTTACATTTCTGGGTGCTAGCCCATCAATTTGATTTCTCCCCAAGGGCAACCCAAAGGAGGTGAGTCGAGTGTTTGTTGTTACCGCTTCTCCAAAAGCCATGGGAGCTCAAGATCGGACTACCATCATCAGGCTCAAAGCTGTCCACTTCCATTGGAAAGAAGATGCAATGGTGGAACCAAGGCTTGACATCTTTCGTAATTTGGGTTTAAACTGCTGAGGCAGGTGATTGTTTGCGGTTGTTTCCATCTAAACGGTCAAAACCGCTTTCAGGTTGCGCGCGGTGTTTGTTGATTTTCCTTCAGTGGATTCCATACCCAGCATGTTTCTACCAGGCTATGTTTCTACCATATGTTTCTACCAGGGTATCCAGCATTTGGGAGTGGCTCAAAAAAAAACAGCAGGGGCAAACCGCAGGTTTTGGTCCATGTGTCCACTTGCCGGGGATCCATTTTGGAATTCCGGTTTTTTGAGCCACAGCCGTTTGGTTGATTCCATACCTGCTGATTTTCCTTCAGTTGATTTTCCCTCATCAACCAAAGGGTTGCAAGTATGTTGCCACCGGGTATGGTCACTGGGCAACTGGGTCCGCAGGCACACGGAGTACCGAAACGCAAAAGAGTACATGGAAGACAAAGAAGAACATGACGAAGTGCAATTCAAAAAGAAGAAGGAGAAGAAGAAGCAGAAGAAGAAAAAAATAATAAGCATAATGATAATGATAAGCAGAGTGATCCACGCAAGGCGCGTCCACACTTTTGTCCAGACTGTTGGTCTCAAAGGCAAGTTGCCATGACCGCTGAAGGCTTAGTTTTTTTAGATGGCCTCGGAAACTCACATGGGTGTTTTGTGTTGGTGGGTACTAAACTTGGTAAACCCACTTTTTCGCATATTAAACTTACCAACTATCATGGAAGCCCATAGGCAACTAGAAAAAGACCACGTTCCTGTTGGAAAGGGGCTTCGTGCACAAACCCGTGTTAGTTGGGAGGGTAGTCATCAGTAGGTCCCCCTTCTGCATATCGATCACTAAGTTACCACTTCATGGAACTCACAGGTGCGCACACAGTGTGGATGGATGAAATCCTGCACCACCTAAGAAGCCCTGGAATGATGATTCACCTGTAAATACCAACAAACCATGGTTTCAACCATGGGTTCCAAATGGTGCGAAATGGATTTCGCAACCGTCCACACTAGTCCGGAGTCCTACCTAGTCATAAACATAAGGCATCGTTTTTGAGGGGGTCGATGCTGGACTCACTCCCCGAGTTGCTCGTGGCCTTCACTGTTGGCATGTTGTTAGTTTTCTTTTCATCGGTTCATTTTAAGTAGGCTGCAAAAACTGGACCGTTTTTCTTTTGCAAGCCCATACCAAGGGTTGTGAGTTTGGTATGCACAAAGTTTGGAAGCTTGGGACATCCACTCGATCAGCGCAAGTCCGCAGCTTGTCCGGACGAAGAACATCCTCTCTCTTTTTCCGCGTTAAAAGAAAACGTCTTTTAAGACCCAGTTGCCCGGTGGGTTGCTTCCTCTGTTCAACTTTTTCTTGGGGAAGGGCATCGGATGCCTTTCGAAAAATCGAATGCTGATTCCTTGTGGAAATCCACTGGGCATCTGAGAGACCCCCGTTTGAAGCAACACACAACTTGCTGGTGCTCAGTAGGGAATGACTCGGAATGACCCAGGGTTTGGAAATGAACCAGGGATTCCCTTGAAGGAAATCATACTGTGGATGGACGAAATCCATTTCGCGCCACGACATGAAACCATGGGAAACCATAACGTTCGGAGGTATTTACCTTGGGGAATCGACTCAGAAACCAGGGTTTCTGAACGGTGGTGCATTGCAAATGGATTTCGCAACCATCCACAGTAGGGGCATGGTTTTTCTCGGGCCCCTGCAAAAAACCAGCGAGAAAAATCTGGGTGCCGAGCCAAGAGTTGGAGTTTCTTGAGGCACCCGCCTGGGCGGGGTCCGCGAAATGTGAACCAAAGCCCTTTGGAAGACTCGGCTTTCAATGGACTTGACCCCGAAGCATTAGACACCACAGGTTGGCATGTGGGGCTCATCGCCTTTGGTTCTTCCATTTGCTGAAATGAGTATTTTTTTGTTTTCCCCTGGTTGGGTTTTTAAGGAAATCTGTCACTACTGGCGATATTTATTTTTATTTTTTCCAGCGGGCTTTAGCAAATAAGATAAGGGTAGTTCGGTGTTCTGTTGGCTCGTGCCAACAGCAGTCCAAGCTTCCCACTAGCGCTTCGTGCTCAAAAGCAACTTGTAGACGCGTAATATACGAAGCTTTATTAAAGCCAGAAGTTGCATTGCCAATCCTGACCTGTTTGTGCAACACCTTTTGCCTTTTTGGTTTTCGTCCTTTTTCCTTTCAACCAGCAGACAGTTGAAGCCATTGCTGCTCGAGGCCTCCCCGCAATTGCGGGTGCCAAGTTGTGCAGGGAAGACGACAGGTTTCTGGACCCATTGATGTCAGGTCCCACTTGACTTGTGATGATCCTGGTGCTCTGCGGAGCAACCGTGCCCAATATCTCCAGCCTTGCGCAGGCGCGCGTGTGTGTGCCAAAGAGGACCTTGGATTTCCTGGGAAGATTGCCTTATATCCCGGTCAACGCGCCCGTAGCGTGATGGCTAATGGATTGGGATGGAACCGAACGCCAGTGTACCCAGTGCATGGCACTGGGGTGCTTCTGTGGCAAATCAGCATTTTATACGAACAAGCCTTTCCTGGCAGGGAGACCTGCAGATATAGCAGGGTCATCAAGACGCACACAAACGCGATCCGGGCGATGCACTCTCGCATCTTCCCAGGTGCCACGCACAGTGAGATTTTCCAATCTTTGATGCAATGCAAGTAGTCTCTTTTAGCTCAGCGACAAGTCTCGCTTGAAGCCTAGTTCAGGGAACATGGTTCTTTTCCGAGCTTCCCCGATTGATTTAAGGTGAACAAGCGCGTATGCATGGCTCGCTCGTACGTGGGGGGGGGGGGGGGTTTTGTCGCGCATTGTTTTCTGAAAGTGACACTAGATGGATTGCGACGCTTCCATTTGCATCCTATCCACTTGCAGCAACTGAGTTGCAGTCTAGGATATGTCTGGCTGGGCGTCCAAGGACACAATCCGGCAGGCGCTGTCAGAAGGAATGGCGTGCGGACTCAGCAGCAGTCTGAAGACGATCTTTCGAAACGGGCATGGATGAGAACCATGAGGACGACGTGGAGGTGACGGAGGATGAGCAGGAAGAGGCTAGCAGCGTGAAGGGCTCGATGGCAGTGAAGGCTTCCAGCGCTGCAATCCTGGCAAGCGCAGCAAACGTGCCACAAACAAAGGCAACACAAGCAGAGTGTTGGGGCAGCGGCGGAAGTGGCTGCAAAGGCGGCTGCAGCTGCCAAGGTGGCTGACCACGCGCCTGAAATCCCGGCAATTGCGGCGGAGCCATCATCTTCATCCACCGGAGTGGCTGCCAGGCCCACTGCAACCCAAAATGGCAGCAGTGGGCGATGAGTCTGAAGCAGCCTCCCCCTTCATGAAGGACATCAAGAAGCGCCGGCGCAAGCTTGACAAGAAGGACAAGAAGGACAACAAGCAGAAGACCAAAGACAAGAAAGTCAAGGAAGGCAAGAAGCGACCAACAAAATGTGAGTTTTGTTTAGGTTGCTTTGAATTACCAAGCACTGCAGGCGCAGGGCACAACAGCATGAGTCGAGCGCAGATTGCACAAACGTGCCGCTACTGACTTACATACCTGGGTCTTCCGTGGGCACTTTTTTCTGGATTTTCCCGTTTCGAGCAAAAATAACGCTCATTTCATCCAAAAACGCTCAATTCGAAATAAACCGCTCAATTGGAAAATGGTTCTGGTGCGTGTCCGCACATTTCCGCTCATTTCCCGCCGATTTCCGCTCATTTCCCGCCGATTTCCGCTCATTTTCTGGGACACAACTTGCAAATCAAGATTTCCGCTCATTTTTAGTTTTTCCGCTCAAAATCTGAAACGAGCAAAAAAAATGCCCAGAGCCCCAAAAAGTGACCAAATGGAAGACCCAGGTATTCAAGATATATGCTTTCGTATTTCAGAACCAGTTTGGGCACGTAGCAGGGGCACGTGGTTTTGACCTTAGATTGGAGGTGATGTCGGAGCTTTGAGGCGTGGAGCTTTGCCTGATCGTTTCCTTTTGGCCCTTGCGTTGCATTAGCAGTACTTGGCCCATTGCCGTTCTGGAGATGGTTCGCGAAGCTGACGCCCATTTCATCCTGCTGCGCGCTTGAGGTTCTGTCACCCCAGCCACCGCGGCGTTGTCTATATACACTCCATGCACCGTTTTCCTCCGGAAATGGTTCTGGCTCTGTAACGAACGTTCGTGATGCGGGGAGCAAAATTTACATTTTTGCAGACTGGTCAAGAAAGGAGCCACTCATTTTTTGGGTTCTCCCTTTTGAGACGGCCAGGAGTTTCAGGAGAAGATGCGAGCAGCTGGCATATGCAGCGAGGAGTCGGGGGGTGGGGGCAACCTGTGCCCATGGAACGCCCAGGCCCAATAGGAAGGACCGCAATAGGGGATTTCCTCAAGAACGACAGTTCTTTGCTTCTACGTAGTTCAACTTTCCCTTAGTTGAGGATATGGATGAAGATCTGAAGCCACGGTTGGCGGGCAAGTTGTGGATAGTGACTTGGGTTGTGAGCTACGTACCGGCCCAACCCACTCATGATAACATAGGTTGCTATCCAAGTAGGCAGGTTCCAACATTCTAAGGCAGGTTGCTTTGCTTCGGGACGGCAAGGAACCGTTGTCGTTTTTACAGGCTCATGTTTTGACACAGTCGGTGTAGGTGCAATATGAAGGCTTTATTTGAGGAGGACTCCCGGATGCTTTTGGTTCTGTTTCTTCAAATCTAGCAAACAAGAGGTACCCTCAAACAGCGCGCCGTTCCCCAAAGGGCCGGCGCCGATTGCCAATTGCTCTCTCAAAAACAAGACCACGCATGTCCCAAAAGGTCGGTTAACATCATAGCATCCACCTCCACC